CGACCTCCGCCCCCGGGCTCGGGGGTTTGGCTCCCGCGAGCTCCGGGCGCGGTCCGGCCCCTCCCTGGCCCTTGGGCCTTCACTTTGCCGGCCCGGCGCCGGTCCGCGGTCCTTCTGCGCCCGAGTGCGGACGCCCCCGCAGGAGGCGGCCAGACAGCGCCACCGCACGCCAGCAGGGGGAGCAGGCGGGACGCTGGTGGACAGACACCGGAGTTTCTGGGTCAAACCTTTGGCTTTAAGATAGAGAAACTGAGGCCTGGGAATCCTTATTTGCGCTTTTTATTTCTTTGGGCGAAATTCCAATCAAGATTTCGATTTCCCAGAGCACACATGGTGGTGTTGGAATATTATCCACCCAGTGGAGGTTGGAAGGATAAAGGGGTTAATACACATAAAGCTCATTATAACACAACCTAGTACAGTGATAGCTTTCTTTGTGTGTGTGTGTGTGTGTGTGTGTGTGTGTGTGAGTCGGAGTCTTACCATGTTGCCCAGGCTGGTCTCGAATCTGTGGGCTCAATCCTCTTGCCTCCGCCTCCCAAAGTGCTGGGATTACAGGCATAAGCCACCATGCCTGGCCTCAATTTTAAAATATATTAAAATTAAAACATTTTTGTAGACCCTTGAAAGTACAGTGGGCCATAAGACACTGAGCCTACTGTGCCTCATGGAGAAGTCAGGTTGGCACTGAATTATTTGCTTGTACCCTGCTACCTCCTGTTCACTGACTTGATTGTAAAGATATAAAAATGACAGGTTTAGAACTGTTATTTAATAACCATTTTCTTTTGGGGGGGGTTGGAGTCTCACTCTGTCACCCAGAATGGAGTGCAGTGGCCGCTTCCGGCCACCGCAGCCTCGACCAGCTGGGCTCCGGCCATCCTTCCGCCTCAGCCCTCCAAGTAGGTGGAACTACAGGCGCGCACTACCACGCCCGGCTAATTTTTTGATTTGCTGTAGAGATGAGGTCTCATCAAGTTGCCCAGGCGGGTCTTGAACCCGCGGGCTCAGGCAATCCACTCACCTTGACCTCCCAAAGTGCTGGGATTACAGGCTGAGCCACTGAGCCCGGCCTAATAACCATTTTCTATAAATACATGAGGACATTGTAAATATGATTGGTCCTGGACAGACTATTGATACAGTAGGCTGTCCCTAACACTATAATTACTGCTGTGGAAATAAGAATTCACTCAAGTTTTCTGAGGGGCTGTGGAAATATGAATTCACCTAAGCTTTCTGAGGGGCAATTGATTCAATAAATCAAAACCCTGAAAACATTTGTTCCACCCAGTAATTCAACTTGTCAGATTTTTTCTCCCAAAGTAATCACCAGTGAGGGGTATCAATTGTTAGGTCAAAGTTGTTTATCAGAATACTATTTCTTTTTTTTTTTCTTTGAGTTGGAGTCTCACTCTGTCGCCCAGACTGGAGTGCAGTGGCATGCTCCCGGCCACCGCAGCCTCGACCTGCAGGGCTCTGGCAATCCTTCCCCCTCAGCCTTCCAAGTAGCTGGAACTACAGGCGCGCACTACCACACCCGGCTAATTTTTTTTATTTATTTATTGTAGAGATGAGGTCTCGCCAAGTTGCCCAGGCGGGTCTCGAACCCGCGGGCTCAGGCAATTCACTCACCTCGGCCTCCCAAAGGACGGGATTACAGGCTGAGCCACCGAGCCTGGCCAAGAATACTATTTCTCGTGGTAAAAAACTGGAGACAAACTGAGCGTGTCACAGCAGGACTTGAGTTAAAGAAATGACAGTACCTCCATAAGATGGAAAAACATGCAATTGTTTAAAATGATGTAACATAGTGTTGAATGGCATGGAGAATGTTCATAGTTATGGGATGAAACAGGAAAAAAAAGCTATGAAACAGTAATATAGTAATATCAGTTGTAAAGCTCTGGACTGCAAGTCACAGAAACCCCAACTTAAACTGGCTTAAACAATAAAATAAATCTGTTGGTTCAAGTAATTTTAAAAGTCCCATGGCAGTTAGGGCTTCAGATGAGGTTTGATTCAGTTAATGAAGTCATCAAGACCTGGTCTCTCTCCATTCCTTTTTTTTTTGAGTTGGAGTCTCCCTCTGTCGCCCAGGCTGTAGTGCAGTGACGCACTCACAATCAGCCCAGCGTCGACCTGCTGGACTCCAGCGATCCTTCCGCCTCAGCCTTCCAAGTAGCTGGAACCACAGGCCCGTGCTACGGCACCTGGCTAATTTTTTATTTATTGTAGAGACTCATCTCACCAAGTTGCCTGGGATGGTCCCGAACGTGCAGGCTCAGGCAATCCACTCGCCTCAGCTTCCCAAAGTGCTAGAATTACAGGTTTAGCCACCAAGCCTGACCTAATTTTTTTATTTATTGTAGAAACGAGGTCTCACCAAGTTGCCCGAGATGGTCTCGAACTTGCAGGCTTAGGCAATCCACTCACCTCGGCCTCCCAAAGTGCAGGGATTACAGGCTGAGCCACCGAGCCTGGCCCATTCTGCTTTTCATAGTGTCAGTTTGTCCTTAGGTGGATTATCTGCCTGGTGTCAAGATGCTGCCAGCTGTAACCAGAGCCACATGCTTCTTCATTCGTTCATCTAATGGAGGGGAGGTCATCTTTTTTGGTAACCTCCTCAAAAGACAAAACAAGCTTTCTTTCCCAAGAGCCCTCAGCAAAAATCTTCTTATATGTCACTAGTACATGTATGAGCTAGTCATGTGCCTGGGGGAATGGGAATTGCCCATTGGTATAACCAACTGGGATCAGTCCCTGAAGCTGTGGGTGGGATTCATCATATTTCAGTTCCTGTTAATAAGGAGATGGACTGATATGGACCTTGTGGCAGCAACCTTGTAGTCAACCAATTTTATAAAATATGTATATATAAATATATGTGAGGCAGGGTACAGTAGCTCATGCCTGTAATTCCAGCACTTTAGGAGGCCAAGGTGGGAGGATTGCTTGAGTCCAGGAGTTCAAGACCAACCCAGGCACATAGCAAGACCTTGCTTCTACCAAAAAAAAAAAAATATTAGTCACACTTTGTGTGCCTATACTTTCAGCTACTCAGGAGGCTGAGGCAGGAGGATCACCTGAGCCCACCTCGAGGCTAGAGGCTGTGGATAGCCGTGATTATGCCACTGCACTCCAGCCAGGGCAACAGAGTGAGACTCTGACTCAAAAATAAATGAACAAACCAGAAAATAAATGTGCCTGGATCCCAAAAAATCTAGAAGGAAAAAATCCAAAAAGTCAAAATGGTCATCTCTTGGTAGATGAAATTATAGGTGAAATCTTTTTTCCTTTATGCTTTTTTCTGCATTTTATATAATTAGCATGTATTATGTAAACACAAATAGTAAACTTTGTTTACAAAAATAACGGACATATCCCACTATTTCCCTTTACTCCAGCCTCTACCCCAGCAAGGGTCCCAGAGTGACTGAAGTCAGAGGCCCCACGGAGCCTTTGGTTTTTCTGCGGATAGAACCAAATCCCAGTGCCCCTTGTTTGCTGGACAGCTGCCACCAAACCACTCTCATTGCATTAACCTGGATGCTGCAGCCTGTAGGGGCCACACCTTGGGCTGCAAAGGGTTGACCAGCCAGCCAGTAGAACCAACAGTGGAGACAGTGGCCACAATAGTACCAGGAACATTCTGACATCAGCAGCACGGGAAGCCCAAGGTCTCCCAAGACAGATCTCTGCTCGTAATCCATGCCTTTTATGTGGCAGCATGTAATTTAGGCCAGCAACTTTCCTTGGGTGGGGCTGTGGTTGGGGTTTAGTCTCTGATGGAGTCAGCCTTCAAGACAGGGTCAGGGTTAGCCCTTAGTTTAAGGCCAGGTTTAGAACTGGATATGGGGCTAAAGTCAGGGCTCAGTCAACGATTGGGCTTAGTCTTCAATCTGTGAACAGGATCGAGGCTCAGTATGTGACCAGGATTGTGACTCAGTCAATGACTAAGCTCAGGGCTCAGCCTTTGACCAGATTCAGAGCACAGTCTAAGGTCAGGGCTCAGTGTGTGACCAGAGTTGTGTGACCCAGAGATAGAATTCAGTCTGAGATCAGGGTTCAGTCAATGATTAGGCTCAGAGCTCAGTCTGTTACCAAGATCAGGGCTCAGTCTTCCACCAAAGTCAGGGTTCATTCTAAAATAAGAATTGGTCTGGACTGGGGTTAGAGAGTTCAGTCTGTGACAAAGGTTCAGTCTTAGACTAGGATAAGGATCCAGAACCAAGGTCTCAAGTTGGGACCAGCCTTACTTGTTGGGCTTGGATCAGGGCTCAGTATGTCATTAGAGTCAGGGCTCATTTTAAGGTGATGGTCAGAGTTCAATCTAGAGCTGGAATAAAGGCTCAGTCTTGGCATGAAATTAGGGCTCAGTCAACATCAAGAAAAGGGTTCAAGTTGTGTCTGGGATCAGGATCACGACCAGAGTTTAATCTGGCTCTATGCTTTGTTCTGAGCTCCAATATGAAGTTTCTGGAGACATGGGAATCCAGAGCAGGTCAGCCTGCAAGAAATAAGAGCCTCTAGACAAGCTTACCAGGGTCTGGTCACTGCAGTAAGCTTCCCCTTGCTTGCTGAGGCCAGGTGTCCTAGAGCCTTCTAACCTACATGGCTCTGCTGCTTAAGATCCCCTCGCACCAGAATAAAAATAGCCACTCACTTCAGAGCAGCTGACAGCAAGTGCTGGGCTGCCTGGGAGGAGGGGGAGCAGAGGAGAGGGAGGAGGGATGCCTGAGCTCAGCCCCAGCTGTGTGACCTTGGGAAAGTCACTCCTCCTTGAGCCCATTTCCTGAGTGGCAGAATGGGGGGTAAGGATGACACCTGCCTCAGAGGGTGGGAATGAAGAGCCAGTGACATAACATGTGGCACTTGTTACCGATGAGAAACTCAGACTGAAGTCTTGGGAGAAGAAATTCTCCTTTGTGTCCTGTATACTTCCTCCTCAGGGAAGTCCTCCCTGATGTTTGC